TCTTGGAGCTTCTGGGATGGGCTGAAAGGGGAATTTTATCCCAAAAATAATTCCAAAAATTCCAGGTTTGGAGCCCCTGGGCTGGGCTGAAAGGGGAATTTTACCCCAAAATAATTCCAAAAATTTCAGATCTTGGAGCTTCTGGACTGGGCTGAAAGGAGAATTTTACCCCAAAAAATAATTCCAGGGTTGGAGCCTCTGGGCTGGGCTGAAAGGGGAATTTTATTCCAAAAATAATTCCAAAAATTTCAGGTCTTGGAGCCCCTGGGGTGGGCTGAAAGGAGAATTTTACCCCAAAAATAATTCCAGGGTTGGGGCCCCTGGGATGGACTGAAATGAGAATTTTGCCCCAAAAATAATTCCAAAAATTCCAGATCTTGGAGCTTCTGGCATGGGCTGAAAAGAGAATTTTATCCCAAAATAATTCCAAAAATTCCAGGTTTGGAGCCCCTGGGCTGGGCTGAAAGGGGAATTTTACCCCAAAAATAATTCCAAAAATTCCACATCTTGGAGCTTCTGGCATGGGCTGAAAGGGGAATTTTATCCCAAAAATAATTCAAAAAATTCCAGATCTTGGAGCCCCTGGGCTGGGCTGAAATGAGAATTTTGCCCCAAAAATAATTCCAAAAATTCCAGATCTTGGAGCTTCTGGCATGGGCTGAAAGGGGAATTTTATTCCAAAAATAATTAAAAAAATTTCAGGTCTTGGAGCTTCTGGGATGGGCTGAAAGGAGAATTTTACCCCAAAAAATAATTCCAGGGTTGGGGTTTCTGAGATGGATTGAAATGAGAATTTTACCCCAAAAATAATTCCAAAAATTCCAGGGTTGGGGTTTCTGGGATGGGCTGAAAGGGGAATTTTACCCCAAAAATAATTCCAAAAATTCCAGATCTTGGAGCTTCTGGGATGGGCTGAAAAGAGAATTTTATCCCAAAAATAATTCCAACAATTCCAGGTTTGGAGCCCCTGGGCTGGGCTGAAAGGGGAATTTTACCCCAAAAATCATTCCAAAAATTCCACATCTTGGAGCTTCTGGGATGGGCTGAAAGGGGAATTTTATCCCAAAAATCATTCCAAAAATTCCACATC